AGGACTGGTTAAGATCATAAAACAGTAAGCATTTATAAATAATGGATTGTTAATCTATCTAACGACTGACACGAGTGTAATATCACGGTAATAAAACTAACTTCAGTTTATCACTACGCTCACTTAGTAAATTGCACGCCACAATTCAATAATATCCCAGTGCAATTAAAAACTATAACAATACAGCAAATAAAAAAAACGTGGTAAAAAATTCAACATGTAAAATGAAGCAGGAAACCCTATTTTACAATTAAAACTATACAAGAAAACAACGTAGGAAAGCAAAACAAAAGAAAAGAAAAAACCGGGGAGCGTAGGGTCCGGTTCTAACAACAAAAACTCGACACCTGAGTGAAATTGTCGGGAAAATATTCGCAATGTCCCCGCTTCCCGTCCGCCGCAAACCGGTTACAACACGATAAAGCCGGTTATCAAGAATTCAGAAGCTGTACGAAAGCGATATTACTTCGAGATGCACTCTGCAGACGGAAATTTACATTATTGAAAACCGGCTAGAGCTGGCTTATTGGCTTAATGTGTCATAATTCAACTCTAAATGGAATCAGCACGAGCCAAATTAATTTTATCGTCTGGTTTCAGTGAAAGTTTAGTGATTTACTAAAAAAAATGACCGTGTTTTAAATTAACGTTATTATTAGCTCACATCAGATTCATATTTTCATACTCTTTAGTACCTACGTATATAGTAAATTAAATAAAATCGGTGACCATTTAAATATAACCTTGATTTAAAAGAATAGTTTTTAATTTGAACTAAGATTCGAATGTCCTCAAAATGTCTAATAATAGACGGTTTAAAAAGTACATTGAATGTAATATGGAGTTGTCTTGAATGAAATCGACGTAGTCTTATGAATCATAATGACGTCACGACATAAAAAATACAAAACATAAGCTACAATGGAAACGAGATATGATAAAAATTGTGTTAATAATGACAAATGCTTTACAGCATGATGTTTAGAAATACCACTTTCATTAGATACTGCAACTGCAAAAATAAAGAGAGAAACACAACGTTGACACGAAAAATATTATCCTGAGAAAGAAATATAAACTACCTTGTGATGTAATGAGACCATATTCTGCATTACCATATATACAGAAACTCAGAGCATAAACAAACAGATAATAAGAATTTTTAAATCGAAAAACTTCAAGATAAGCTAGGATTTATTCAGTAGAATATTTTCATTGGTTGCGGTAATGCAGTTGGGATGCAAGCGACCGCTTTGCGCAAGAATATTACCTAATCTCATATCGTTAAAAGTAAGCGAATTCTGGATAGTAAACATTTTCCTAAGATTTTCCTAAAATCTTATGCAGAAACTGTCTGCATTAAAATTCAATAATGACATTAGATAATAGCACGTCTGTAATATCACTTACATCTTTCATTTAATTGGTTCTTCTCAATACTTGATTTTTTTTTTTACCTTTTTACTTCTTGGTGTTGTTTCAATAGAAAACATTGTCAATCATTCATTCATCATGTATGGAGAAATTGTTTTCAAGATTGCGTTTGCTTTTAATTAACACTGTCAACCTCCAGTATAAAGTAGCCCCAGGACAAAAAAGATACAATTTGAAAACATCACGTCTTATTATTTGTTTTGACGCATTAGCCAATGTATGATGACTATGTAAACTAAAGTTTGCAAACCGGTTACAGAGCAGTTGAGTTAAAAATGTTAAACGTCTATGGTCAGCTATTACTTGTATAAATGATCAAATCGAAATCTAAAATAATCTCTAACGTTATCAATGTTTTAAGATGTATATTTATGTAGATTCATCTTGTATAAATATTTGCCTCCATCTCTCCACAGCCTTGAAATGCATGACTCATGTCGTGCATGTTATTAGTGCGCAAGGAAACAGTTATTTTTCAATTTATATACGGTCGAATGGTTCGTTTGGCGACCCAATAAATATCAACCAATTTATATAAACAAGCACTTACGCCATTATTCTAGAGGTAGGCAAAGATACTGATTATCACGTGCAAGTCTGTCATTATTCTTGGATTTACTTATCTATATAACTTAGATGAAATTCATATTACAAGTAAATTGTATCTCAAATTCGAGAAGGCCGTTTGTTTAGTTGTTACATCTGTTCTGTTTAAAATTCAATTGATCTTAGTCATTGAATGTCAAATGTTTTTTTTTATCATGTGGTATTTACACAAAAGATATAACCTCAAAGCGTACGATATTGTTCTAATTCTGTAGTATAAAACGTGTGGATATAACATAGTTTCGCACAGATAACATATTTCACCTCCGATAAATCGAATCGTATTTGTAGGGACTACCTGCTTCACAAGATAACATATCTCTGGATATCAGTCACCAACATAAATAGTAATGCATATTCTCTTAATATCCATTCTGATTTAATTTTATATGACGTATATTAGTTTTGTCTAATAACAAAAATTTAGTAGTAAAGTAAAATACTTACGAGCTATAAACCTTAGTAGATAATGGCTCGTCATTTATCTCAATCAAGTCTAACTCTGTACTACGGTTTGTGTTTGGAATTCTTTATGTAAAAGGTAACTTGCCAAGAATTTTGCTCCCCTGGTACACTGACCCCTGTCAATTTCACCATCTTACAACTTACGTGCAAAGAAAATAAGAATCACAACCGCTGTTTACAATTCCTATCAGAGAAGACCTTGTATTATGCTGATTCTTGTAAATTAAAATAACACATTTTACTCATTTAAAATGCTTTAGCTAATCATTTAGAAATATTAGTCAGAATATTTCATATGAAGGTACTTTATTAAACTGCAGTATCGATTTATCTTGTTTTACGTTTGATTTACTGCATTCTGCTTTGAGTTTTACGATACTCTGTACCAAGGCATCATACCACGTGTGCGGTAGTTTGTTGTCACGTAAGTGGTCCGGTACGTGATATGTGTTATGTGTGTTCGTGTGATTCATCACGGTGACCCACATCACAGCTACACCGTTACTACAAAAGTATACTTTACCATTTTAACGAGGCGCACTCCGACCTTTTTTAAATTAAAACCAACGCACTCTTGCCTGCATTCTTGGATACAACACAAAGTTGGAATGTCTTACCAAATGTGTTGCAGTACCAAATACCTCCTAGAAATTAGACTTTCTACAAATGCTGGTCGATGCAGGGTGAAACTCCTCCATCTTTGTTTTCAACGAGTTGCTAATTTTGGGTTTAGAATAACCTGGAGTCGTATTGTTTTAGAAACATTACGCCAATATTTGGGCGTCAGTTTGTAGAACTTTCATTCTTGATAACTCCATAATCTTAGGATATCCAGATATTCAGCAGTTAATATTTGACTTGGCAGACTTTATACATTTAGATGTCTTCGGAGGAACCATGATGATTGTATGAATAGCTGGCACATAGTCATAATGACAGCTTGTGAGCGCGTTAACTGCATACAGCTAAGGGTAACGACACCGCTGATGCGTTCAATTTGCATGTATACAGCATTAGAGCGGGATTCACGCAGTTGCGACAAACTTGATTGGAATACAATATGAATTACTGCGATCTTTATACTTTGTAATATTGGACGAGATAATGAAGAAATTACAATATTTACATATTTTAATAGATATTTTTTTTATAGCAAACGGCCACCTAAGTCCGACAAAATGACGAAGCGACCGCTATCCATAGACAATTGCAGATGCGTTGCCAACTCTAAATCGACGGAAGAGGAGACGCACATAAATATATTCCCCCTTCCTATGCGTCTTCTCCACCGTCAAATCCACTTTCTCATCCAATCCTTTTCTTACTTAATTTCTTATCTTTTTCGTATGATGTTTTAGTTAATTCAGTATCAGAAATGTACGAGTAGCTGGACAAAGTTGAAAAATTTGAACTCACGTTGACCTTTTACAACAGATAGATATCCGAGGTCACAAGACACTGAAATGTAAGGTTCGTGCAAGGTTCTTCACTTCACAATGCAGATTATAATGCATTTATTAATTTTGTAGAGTCTATAAGTGAGCGTTACTCGTTAAAAACTTAATTTTTTCTTAACCAGATGAGTTGAATCGGGTATCTCCGCCATTCTACTTGAGAGTTAGTCACATAACTAGGTTCTAGGTGCTTGATTACTACCAGCGCAAATACATCCCAGTGTGCTTGCAGACTAATGATTGATACAACCATGATTGTGAAACACAGTATGGATATATTTTCGAACATTTATGTTTACGCGAAATTTGCATGTAAAATTACAAAGCTTTATCATACGCGGAGCAATCATTAGCCCATTATTCAAATTGCTGTTGAACAAAAGAGCGGATGCGATATTTCCATTCGATCGATTCGCTGGCGTTCGGGTGAGAAAGTAACGCATGGACGCGTCCAGAACGAATGTGGCAGAATTCTCAATTGTTCCAGGAAACCTAGTCTGTAGCCGTGTCGTGTTACTGCCCTGTTGAACAACTAACGGACGGCAACGGTTTTCGCATAACCCCCCAAAAGACTCCAAGCATTAGTTAATTACACTTGTCTTTACAATTTTTTATCCCTTCTGTGTTAAATATAATCTTTATTTAAATATTTATTCCTAAATATCTAATTCAAATCAGATAAGATTAATTGGTTAAGTAACTTAACTGTAACTCAACTTTTGGTTGATTTTAAAACTTCTTAAAAATAATTATGTCGGTAATTTTATTTAGATACGAGACTAACTTAATTCAAGGTTGGTAGTCATAAAAAGTACTTTTTTAATTTATCACTTGTAATTGTAGCATAACTTATACACTGTACTTTACATTCTAACCTCAAAAAATATGTATGATTCATTATTTATACCTATGCTGATTAATAGCAACTTTCAAAAACCAACCTATTTCATAGTTTACATTAAGAGTAAGCATCATATTAAATTAATACTAAGTTGGATATTAAGTTTAAAACTAAAATTAAGTACTTAAACAATAAGTTACCTGTTACAACTGCCAAGAAGACTGCTAATGCCGCCACACCTGTCGCTCTTACTCGCGTGGCCCTCATTTTGTCTCTTTTCAACACGATACTAGTTTACGTTCTCATAAACAAGAAAAACAACAGAAATTTAAACCCAGAGTCTTCAAATGCCCTTGTCCTTTGTTTAAAAACAATAAAGTATAACACTTGCGATTAGTTACACCTACGCTGATATTGTTTATTCGAGATCAAGTAGATAAAAAGGTAATCCACAAAATTACACAACAAATGTCCTTAACGTTTCCAAAATGTCGAAAATAATGTTATTCTCAATTGTTCACTCAAGTTCATCGTGATGCTTTACTGTGATTGAAGATTCGAAGAAGACAAGAATGTCAAACTTGTTTCGTATCGCAGTATCTGTGCGGCGGCAGAGCTGCGTACGTCCGTCCTACTCGAGCGCGAAGCCGAACTGTTGCTACACGAGCGACATACCGCGGTGACGAACGAATAAGGAACTAAGCTATAGGCGCCATTGGTCATACAACTTCGATGGAATGGAATACATTTATTGGACCGTTAATTTCAAATAAAACCATGATATATTCTGTATTATTCTAAAACCAAAAATTACAATTCCATTAAAATGCAGGTATGGAAGATATGAGAAATACGACAAAATAAACGACCAAGTTAATCACTTCGTAGCCTTTCGTTTGATCAAACGTAAATTCGAAAAATAATTTCATTTGGTCATCCATTGTCAACATTCCAGTCTAGTAGACAGGGCTCATGGCAGCAATTGCCTAATAGAGCGGTTATTGGAATATGGGGTGTACGTTTTTAATTCTATTTGCGCAGTCAAAACAAGGGCCAGTCCTCATCCCCTTTCAATTAATTTATTCGAGTAACCCCTACGTCAGTTCTTTATGCCGATTCCAATTTCCTAAAATCGAAAATAAAAGGAGATATTGTATTTCATAATCTTGACAGAAAATAGACAAACAAGGAGAAGTAATTAACTTTGTTGTACTAGAAAAAATCGACAAACTATAACTACGTATGATTACATTTTCCCATAAAAATAATGTAAAAAGTCCAAGCAAAAGATATTACCCACTTAACAGCGGTTTAACTAATAAACATAGCAATAATTAGAACGCTGTAAATGTCAAACATTTCAATCTATTAGCGGTTGCATTAACTTAACTCTAAAGTGTCGGCGTAGGCTTCGTTTGTCCGCTCCCGGCTTCCGTCGACAGTCTCACTTATCGTCAAGTCGCGAAATAAAACCCCCGCCGTCGAGCTACTGTTTATTTTCCAGCCAGTTGCTAAAATTTGCGAATAATTCCGTTTAAAAATGGATACGGGGGATTTGGCTTTAACCAACGATCTCATCAAGTGAAAATTCATATGGAAGAATGAGTTACTAAAAACTGTACGAATAATAAATTATGAAACGACTAGCTGTCGCCAGCGACTCTGACCGAAAGAATATGTGCCTATGTGTTCTTCCAGACTATACTCTACATCTGTGCCAAATTTCATCGTAATCAGTTCAGTAGTAGAGGCTAAAAACTCTAACAAACATCCATCCATCCAAACATTCGCATTTATAATATTAGTATATTAGTAAGACTAGTAATATTACGGATTTATGAAAATGCATAGTAAATAAATCTTGCCATGTACGTAATAGAATAAGTAGTTTGAATTATTATATAATTTTCACCTGTCTTAAAGCTTTGAAACGTAAGCAGTGTTCCCATTTCATTTCAGGCATACGAATGTTCGAACAACGATTTAGTTTTAAAAGATCTTTCGTACTCTGAGTGGCTCTGCTGCATAAATTATAAAACACAAATCATGGCACAAACAAACGACTATTTCTCTTTGTTAGAGATTTCATACTGTCGGGAAATGCAATCCGCCTATTCTCTAATAATAGTTGTTACTCTATGCTGTATGTGGACGCGTTTTCTGCTTCTTTGAAACGTGGACGGAGATAAACTTGAATATTACATGAGCATTTGTTTTTAAATAGAACAATAGTTTGATTCAGCAGGAAAATGCAGCTCTATGCTTTATGTCGAAGGAAACCAAAATACTAGTATTTTTGTATAGAATCTTTGTAGAATTTAATATAGCTTTTTATCATAAGAATAAAATATCTGGGTGTTATTTATGTTGATTTAACCGTTAAATCTTACTGCAAAAAATATTTTATGTTACAAGATGTTTTTATTTATTTATTTACACTTTGTACACAAAGAAAAAAGTAATTAATTATTATATATTGAAAGTTAGTTGTACTGGTAAGCGAGATAACTCTCTTAGAGTTAAGACTGGAAAAGAGTTATCTTTCTGCTAACGATGCGATAAGCTTATAATTGTATAGCGGGTAATGTTTTATGTTACTTTTTTTGTTTAAACCTGTCGCGAAATATAGAGGTCAATAATTTTTTTTAAAGTTTTTAAGCTAGCGCTTGACCACGATTCCACCGACTGAGAGTGAAGATTTGATCTAAAGATGGTACGCGCTACCCTAATAAATACTCTTTCACTCTTTTCTTGAAGGCCCCCACGCCATATCTGGACGGAAAAACCGACGCTGGCAATATATGACAAAATATTCTAGAAGCTTGTCAAATATCGTAAAAAGGCCTATTAACTAGAGATTACAACATTGTAGAGTTTACAATGTCCTATCCGTGTTGTAATCGTCATTTAATCAAATAAACAAATTGTTATGTGAAACCCAACAAAGATATTGTCGTCAATTTCTAATTATGTAACGTTATTTGTTACTGTTTTAATACTCTAATACAAGTGGATATCCGTGAAGGCTATATCGGTGCACATACTTAGTTGATATTGAAGGGAACATCACTAGCTAGTGCATACCTAAAAAGTATCGATGTATCACAGCGAATTGGTATCGATAGCGTATTTACACACACATTAACACGTAATTTATACAAGCGACCCCGTTTAGCTCATGCCGACGTTGGCGAGGGATGGGCTCAGCCCCATGCGATGTCCCGGCGGATTAGTGCCGGCACACTGCCCTCTGAAATCACCAATATCGTTAAGGTGAGGCGGCCAGGATATTACAAAATTCTAAATAAAGCAATATGCGGCGTTAGTCGTGCGTGTGATTTGCGAAAAGCGAATTATAAGCTTCTCTGGTTACTGATAACGATGTCACCTATTATTTATAACCTTTAAGCAAGTGAATTTAAATTTATGATAGTACAGAACAACGATCTGTTGATGCCGGTCTCTAGATATGAATAACTGATATTTTGCATTTCTGATATTTCGTAGGCACATTAATAATTTGCCATAATTAGTATTCTACTTACCTATCTTTAAGTTTTTATAAGTTTAGTAATCTGGCATCGATTACAATCTGGAGTGGTTAGTAGGAGCTTTACTTGTTTTCTTAAATAAAATAAATGCTACTGTAACCAATAAATCAGTAATCACTGTCGCTTAAACAAATACATTTCAATCGGTACCAATCTGTTTTAATATGCTGCCTTATTTAAATATATGACTTCCAAACTTAATTGAGTACGGAAAGGAATTCACGCTCCAGTCGTTCCCTTTGGAAGCCGCAAACTTGAGGGCGCGGGACATTGAGAGACTGCATTAGTGAGATCCACGTTATGACTTGGAAAATGCGACACTTCTTACCCTAAAAGGGAGTACTGTATTTATGACGTGCGTTTGATTTATTACACAACAGCCCTCGAGTACGTTTTGTTGTTTCTTTGTTGAGGGCATCGCACCCCGGGGTCTTGAGACAATCGAATGTCTAAGGGAATACAATTTTAGATGCGTCGAATATCTTGTTGATGTGATGTCAAAAGACAATCAAAACTTGATCACCACCTAGGCTTAATTAAATCGACGTAAGGAGATTTATGCGATGTGATATGAAGAAAGTCGTAGCTATCATTAGGAGGCGATTTACGATTCCTCGTGCGTTCGCAGTCCATTATTCACATTTCATTCCGGCGTGACTACATTGAAAGCTACTGCGGGAACAGCTACGTTGCGTAAATCATTTGAATTACACGCTGGCGACTACTGCCCGAGAGTCTTATGGCTCCCTCAGCGTTTTCTCTGGTGTCTTACATCTGTAACATTTGAAACTTTAGTTTGTTACACAATATATAATGATACATGAAAGTAATAATTTATACTCTTAGTGAACAAAAGCAAGAGTTAAAATTATATAAATCTATTACCTTTATTAATTTAGCAATATTCACACATGTATAATTGCTAATGAATTCAAAAAGGCGTAAAAAAAAGTATATTATCGAAATAAACTATTCATATTTCATTTTCACCCAAGACTTATACTTAATTAAACTTACCGTCGTTTAAACTACGTACAACAAATAAAGTAGTGTAAAAAAGTTAATGAATTGTTTATGGTAGTTGTCACGCGAGTCTTGGCACGAAATACCAAGACCTACCGTAAAATGTAGATAAGCGCTAAATAATTGGGTCACGGCCGGATTAAAACTCAACGATCAGATGTATGCATATCGCACACATCCAACTATGTGGATTAAACACTTGACATTATTAAAGCTCCGATTAAATTAAATAAAATAATTTTATCGCTATATGTTTATAGCAGTTACCTAAATTTTTGAAAATGGATCACACCGATATAAACTTGACTGTATGAATTATTTGGACCCAAAATGTCAGTTAAAAATTTCTAAGTTAGTTAAAAGATATGAGTAGTCTGTGTAAGCATAAGTGTCAAAGCCTGCTAACATCAAACGTTCCAAGTTAAACGAGGTTTTGGATGTAAGCTTGAAAACAAAAGGAGATAGCGGAGATTAATTTCTATTCTGCAGATATGAGGTTTGCGGCCCGGAAGGCGATTGAAATGAAGTGGGTTAGTTGAATGTGGCACACGTGAACGCCTCGGCGACGATAGCTTTGCAATTAAATAGGTCGTCTGCTCGCCCCGGACTTCTATCGATGTTGATATAAAGGCGGCCTGGATCATTTACATTACGTAAATAGCGACCTATGTTCTGTATTTTCCGATCAAGTTATAACGTTTTCCACAAAGATGGCTCACAGACATAATGTATGGTTTCCGTAGTAGAGATTTCTGTTTCACGGAGAACACTTAAGTAGTAAGACAATAAATATGGCATTGCATATTGTGAAACCAAGTTTCAAATCATATTGCTTTTATGTGATCTAATCCTTCCAATCTGATTTTTATTACTATATCTACAACTAAATCTCTCTCCCTTCTATAAATCCTGTCGTCCTGTTGTCATTGTGACATGACACATGTTGTCAT